GTTGACAGTTAGAATCATAGTATTATATATGTATGTATGTATATATATATATATATATATATATATATATATATATATATATATATATATATATGTGTGTGTGTGTGTGTGTGTGTGTGTGTGTGTGTGTGTGTGTGTGTGTGTGTGTGTGTGTGTGTGTGTGTGTGTGTGTGTATTTATTCATTTATTTATTTATATATCAATATATGATTATCAATCTAAAACTTCTTCCCTGGCTCTAAAAAAATCCACAACCTCTCCCAGCGAAACGAACAACAGCACACGCCCCCACAGGGCAGCCGCGAGCACTCACAAATGATGAAGGGAATCTGGTAGATGGCGGGCACGGTGAGGCCCACCATGAAGCGGCAGGCCATCCACGACCAGAAGTCGGGCGCGAACGCCGTCAGGAGACCGAAGACCTGCTCGACGGCCAGACACACCAGGAAGGAGACGCGCCGGCCGAACCTGAAGGAGGGGCAGAAGGAGGTGATGATTGGTGAGACACGGAGGGAGAGAGGGAGGGAGGGAGAGTGAGGAGAGGAAGGGGAGATGGAAGAGTGTGGGAGGAGAGGAAAGGAGGGAGAGGGAGAGGGAGAAAGAGAGATGAAGGGAGAGAGTGAGAGAGAGAGAAAAGAGAGAGAGAGAGAGAGAGAGAGAGAGAGAGAGAGAGAGAGAGAGAGAGAGAGAGAGAGAGAGAGAGAGAGAGAGAAATAGATAGATAGATAGATAGATAGATAGAGAGAGAGAGAGAGAAAGCTAGGGATAGAGAGAGAGGGGGGGAGTGTGGTAGAGAGAAATATTGATTGTTCGAGAAAAAGATATATAGATAGACAAATAGCGAAAGACAGACAATGAAAGGCAATGATTGTAATGTATGTGTGTGAATTGGGTTAATCATAAAAAAACTAAAAGAAAGCTGTGAATGAATGACAAAAAAATATATATATATTTACAAAAATAAAACACACATATAATTCCAGTCATTCTAGACACTGCATTCCACATCGATGATTCCCCCCCCCCCTTTTGTTATAGACTAATAACGACCATGATAAAGCAGAGATCAGCTGATGATGACGCAACACCCTCAACCCACCTGTCGGAGATTGTGCCGAAAATGTAGACGCCGATGATCCCGCCCACGTTGAGGACCGATAGACCCACCGTCGGATAGATGGCGCGCTCGCAGACCAGGTCATACTGGGTGTGGGGGGGGAAGGTCAAAGGTCAATGCATAGGGCTTAGCGCGTAGGTTAAGGATGAGTAGATAGATAGATTGATTGGTAAGTGGGAAGATAGATAGTTACATAGACAGACAGATAGCTAGTTAGATAGATAGATAGATAGACAGATAGATAGATAGAGGGGGGTGGAAAAAACACGGTCATTGAGGATGGCTTAGAGCTTAGAATAAGGAGAGATAGATAGGTAGATAGATAGACAGATATGTATATAGGTAAGTAGTTAGTTAGATGGATAGATAAATAGGGAGATAGATAGAGAGATAGATAAATAAATGGATAGATATATAGGTAGATAGATAAGTTGATAGATATATAGATAGATAGATAGACAAATATACATATAGATGCATGCATGTATGAATGTATATATATGCATGCACTGTATATAGAAACACAATTATGTGTCACTGAGAAAAAAAAAACAACATACTATAGGCACACTTAGACAATGACAGAACTCAAACCAAACCCACGTCAATGACAATCGACGAGAAGATGACGGAGGTGTCATAGTGCCAGCCGTTCATGCATGGCACCACCGGCCAGGAAGGGTCTGGCTTCAGCTGCCCCGTGAGTGCCACAGCGGTGAAGTTGCGCACCAGGTATTGACTGCACTGGCTAAACGCCCCCTGAATCTGGATGAGAAAAGTTAGTTGTTGGAAAAAGTGGAAAGTGAAGATAAAATGACAAAGCACTATATCGCGTTCACATATTGCCAGATGGACATGCACATGCTGTAAATGCGGCAATAGATTAGAGCATTAGCGGTATTCTATTACTGTTATGATAAGATTTTTTGTGTTTGCTGTTATCATACGAAACAGTGAAGATGAAGTTATTTGTAATTGAAAAAAAGTCAAAATAGATATAAAAATAGTCTGATAAAAATGAGAGATTACATTGCAGTACTAAAATAGCGACTTAAACCAAATAATAACCAAGAAACAAATAAATGAACAAAAAGATAAAGAAAACAAAAATGCCAAAAAAAAAAGACAAAAAGAAAACAGAGAAAGGCGTCCTCCCCATACCACAGGGATAGTAAGGTTCCTGATCTCCTCTTGCGTGAAGTCCCCGGCCTCCTCCAGCTCGGGGATGCGGCACCAGTGGGGGGGGAAGGGACTCATGAACAGCTGGTTGAAGGCGTGGAAGCCGCAGGGGATGCAGGCCGGCAGGCAGATAAGGAAGATAAGGAGCTTCTGGTAGCGCCCGAACTCACCCACGTGCGGGAGGAGGTCGTCGAAGTCCATGGA